ATTTTCTCAGTTTAGACTGAATTTAAAGTTCGTAAGGATTAGAAATCAGGTTGACCTGTGGTCGTAGATTAAAAATAGCCATAGTGAAGGTAAAATTATTACGTTAAATAATTGTTTTTATACGAATTAAATATTGATTCAACGTTTATTTGTTGCAATACCGTGAAATAAATTGTATTATATATTTTTTCTGTTTACACTAAATTTAAAGTTCTGTTTACATGTTATAACAATTAGAATGTTGACGTTTTGCCGTTTCACGGTTTTTCCTCTGTTAATTATGTGTTTATAAATCATTTCAAACTAAAGCAGCACCATGCCCACCCTTAATTAAACCGTCTCAGTAGTTTACCGTAATTAATAATCTATTTTCGGAATTTATACGAGAATTTTTGAATTTTAGTAAATACTAGAGTCAGTGCATCGCGTATTGAAATAATAGCTTATACAGATAATCTTTTGAAATTACTCTTAATTAGGGAAAATCTTGAATCTTGTATGGAAGATGAAGATTTTCAGGAAATATTTATTTTTCAACAATGAATTTTTGTTTTATCGATTAATAACGTACGAAATGATTTTTGGAAAATTTTCTTCGTTTGAACGTTCGTTTAAGGTTCGACTATGATTATCAAATCTCTCGAAACACCGTAGAATGTTCAATTTTAAAAGTAACTTCTTCAGTTTTTGGATAATCTGGGTAATGTGTTAGTGTTACTATCGTTTCACTTTCGAGTATAGACGTTAAAGTTCATAGAGTGGTCGGGGGCTACTAGCTAGCCTATGTCCACCCTGTACACACTCAGCCTTCTTGTAACACTTGTATACATTAGAATCAATTAGAATTTCAATACAATAGACTGAATAACAATTCATTTTAACTAATACCTATTAGAAATTTTCCTTTTAAAACAAATATAAATCATTTTACCAATTACTGGTACTTGCTAGACATTTAATATCAGACTTTAAATATTCTCCTTTCGGTTCTTTTAAATACAATCAAATAATTTCTTCAATTATCGATACTGACTTGGAATACTCCGCTTCGAATAAAATATTTCGAAATTATTTTGAAGGTTTAGGGAAATAAACATTTGAATTTTAGTCATCGTTCTTCTTCAGACTTGTCGAATAGGATATTGAAATGACTTTGAGAGGTTGCTTTTTCGTTACAGCATAACAATCAATATGTACTTTTCCCCCAGCAGTTGGAATTAATTTGAAATTTTTCATATATTTTCTCTGATATTGAATTTTGTTTACTAATAATTTACCATCCAAGGAATTTGCATGAATTGCATGTTAAGTAGTTAGTTGATTTATTATTGTATATTGTGAGCTGATTTGGAACGAGTGCACTATGCCCACCCTAAATTAAACCGTCTCAGTAGTTTACCGTAATTAATAATCTATTTTCGGAATTTATACGAGAATTTTTGAATTTTAGTAAATACTAGAGTCAGTGCATCGCGTATTGAAATAATAGCTTCATCCCTAGTTCGTTTATTATTGAATATTTTTACGCGTTTAACTTATGCTTCTCCCCAATTCTCGTCGCGTATTTTATTCAAATTTTCTTATATTCATTCTTTCAATTTTTCACTCGCGTTCTACGAAACTTTAGTTCAATAATAATATTGAAAGTAATATAAATT